GTAATCATATTTAAATGTATTAGCTTTTGTGTGTGTGTTTGTATGTGCTCATCAGTCTGCAGCCCTCCAGGCTCCTGTATCCATGGGGTTTTCCAGCCAAGAATACAGGAGCAAGTTACCATTTCCTACTCCAGGTGATCTTTCCAATCAGCGATCTCTTGCATCTTCTACATTGGCATGTGGCTTCTTGACCACTGTGCCACCTGGAAACTTCTTACCTGTGTTTACATAAATTTAAAGCTGTATACATGCACATATAAACACACACATAACGTCATGATAAACTATGGATCACATTAGCTTATAATCTCATATTGCTCAAGAAGCCTCCAGGGTTTGTAATATGTTCTTGGGATGACCATGGCCCTAGACAGTCTGTCTATTAATACGAGAAATGTTTAATCACTTTCATATCACTTATGGACTACGCAAATCAAATCACGTGATCTGCTCTGATATCAGTCTAATGGAGTCCCCTCTGTTTCCGAGTCCTGAGACTCAAATGAGAAAATCTATGTTAAAGGAGGCCGTGTCCACCATGTACTATTTCTCCTTTGCATACTGGGTAACTTCCACCATAATGCCAGGGTCAATGTACTCTGAGGGGGTTGACAACTAATGGGGATCTAAGCTGGGAGATTCCAGCATCATTAAAGCAAAATGTAATTGGATATTTTGAAAAGTCTTAGATGAATGTTGTACATTTTAGATGGTTTTCATGCAACGGTTCTTAAAAGCTGAAATACAGTAGGGAAAAAAAGTGGAAATAACAAATGGAACTCCCAACATATTTCAGGCTTAGCTTTATCTAATCCACAACTGTATCTTTTTCCAAGTAAAATGTTTAAAGAATAAGATTGCAAGGGCTCACCTGTGGGGCTTTTAAGAATACCTATATTTGAGTCCTATCTGCAGAGATTTTGATTCAGGATATGGCCTAGCAATTGACATTAAAATCAAATAAGCAACAACAACCAACTATAGTGCATTCAGGAGTTGAGAATTATGAGATTAAGTTATATTGTTATGTGGAGGCATTATTTGACTCAGCTGGCTCTTTGCACATGGAAAGGACTTAATATTAACTTTCTAGCTTGCTCTTTCTTTCTCTCTCCTTCCTTCCTTCTCTCTTCCTTCCTTCCTTGCTTCTTTTCTTCCCTCCTTTTTTTTTTCCTTCTTTTCTTCCCTTTAGATTCATAACAATGGAGCGATGTAGTGGTCTCAATATTTTAATGTCCATTTTGAAAATGAGTAAATTTAGGAAAGTGAGATGATATGCTTGAGCTTACAAAACTAGTAAGTTTTCATGCTGCCCTTACTCTTTCATTATAAACAGTTTGTGTTTATCAGCTATGCAATTGTGGATGATTCCAGAGTTTAGCATGATCAGGGAGAAGAGAATCCAGGGTTCAAATATTCTATGTGGACAACGGAGAGTATACTAGGGTCATAATCACCTCTAAATTCCAGCTGATTTTAGGACATGTCTCTGTGCATGGTCTCTGATGCTTGCACTTTAGAGTTTGCTGTTTTTGTGTTGAATGCATCCATTTTTATGATTGCCAGAATTAGGCGACACAGAAGGTTGAGAACACCCTGGTCACTTGGAAGGCATTGTTTAACCTGATAATGGTTCCGATGTTGGAGATGGAACAGAAGGGAGCAACGGATACACAGAGCAACCAGGGCTCCCTCAGAACAAATAAGTAGTTAAATTTTAATCACTGGCCTTGGGACATCATCCCTCAAGAATCTAAAATTCAGCCTAAGGTACTGAGATGAGAAAACTCAAATAACTTAGGGATTTCACTCTGTATGCATTCATTATCTTTATTTTTAGTCTATAAAAAAGGTTGGGTTGGATTATAGCAGCGTCTCATTTGTGGTTATCATAGAAGAAGCTTTATTTTACTTTCACGGAACTGTAGTTTTTACACATGGATATCATGTCTTTTTTTTTTTTTTGCATGAATATGTGGTGAAGACAGATGAAGACTATTTCTACACAACACTTAACAGGTTTAGGTATTTTATCTGTGGTGTTTCTGACTGCATTTTTTTATGAGATATTAATAATAGTAAAAGCAATAAATCATTTAACTAAAGGGCATTTTGGACTTAGGTAAATTCAAGTATAAATTTATGGCTTTGCTAAATAGTCTAACTTTGAGACAGTTGTATACCCACTGACCATCAATTTTCTCATATTTAAAATAGACATAAGTTCCATTGGAGTTATTGTGAAGATATGATTTACTGTCAGCGAAGTATTTAAACATGTTTGTCATGTAATAGAGAGTTATAATAGGTAGCCTTTAATGTCACTTTTTTAAGTGATTTTTTTCTTTTCCATATAGAAAGACTTTTTCTCTAGGGATTGAGTTCAGGTGGAAAAGTGTTTTAATTGCCTCAGTGTGTGTGTGTGTGTGTGTGTGCATGTATGTGTTCAGTTGCTCAGTCATGTCTGACTCGGTGATCCACCGATTGTAGCCCACCAGGCTGCTCTGTCCATGGAATTCTCCAGGCAAGAATACTGGAGTGGGTAGCCATTCCCTTCTTTCTATTCTTAAAATACTTAGTTTATCTATCATGTGGTGTAAAGATTAGGAGTGTTCATAATTCCTGTCTTGGGTGCTTAACAAAGATCCCCTAATGAGGAGCACGTATATATGTATATAAAATGATAGAGTTAACATACCTTGAGTCCTTACAAGATATAGCTAACTCTGTTCTAGGTGCTTCACATGTATTATATCATCCACCTGGTCAGTCAGCTCTCTGAGAACACCACTTTTGCCCCTGTCCTGCAGGTAAATAAAGTTAAGCACAGACTGGTGGGCTGAATTGTGCAAGCGAGGCCTCCCAGCTGGTGAAGAGCAGAGCCAGGCCTGTGATCTCATCCCTCCAGTGCTGGACCCTGCCCGCTTCACTGCCACCTCCTGACTCTGTGCCGACACATTGTCAAGGAGAAACTAACTCTGCATATCCTTTGCTATCATGCTGCTGCTGCTGCTAAGTCTCTATCATTCTGATCACTTCTAAACATTGCCTGAATGGCCCTTTTTCAGAAGGACTGCCTGACTGCATTTTGGAGAGTCTAAAAGGCCTCTGTACAGATCCATCCCTCCTTTATCTCTGGACTTCATATTTTAGGTTATTTGGTTTATCAGCTCACTGAGCTATTTGATTTGAAAAGCCTTGATTTAAATCAAAATATAAGAAGACTGTCTAAAATGTATCACATGTTAAATTAATATTATTTGAAAATGATGTCTTGCATAAAGTAGTCTTTTACATGATCTGCAACTTCTCAGTTCATAAATGTCTTCTTGGGACATTTATGAAGATTCCTCACTTTCTTGGGAATCTGTTTGTTTCCTTCATCTCAACTTTATATGGACAGAAGGGTTTATGAGAGTATCAAAATGTCTGCTGTGTTTATCAGAGCAAGCCCAGCATCTGGCACATACTAGATTATTGAAAAGACTGATTGCAAAGGAAGAAAGAAAGAAAAAGAAAGAATGAAGAGTGAGTAGATGAATAACAGGCAGCTTCTTGATATTGTAACTGTGCCCACCTCTAGGACTCTTTATGACTCCATACCTTTCTAACTCCCTGCCTTTGATCTGCTGCAAATCGGTTAACCACACACACTATTGATAACTCTGCATAAACTGAGAGTAGGTAAACAAGAGGCATAGAGGCTGAGGAACTCTCAGTGAATCGACCAAGTAAGTTTAACTTGTCTGGATCGTTTTTAATGCTATTATTTATCTGAAATGTTTTTTTATTAGAGAAATAAAGTCTGGATAAATGCAGGAACACTGTATGTTATTAGGGCTATTAATAATAGGTATTATTTATGAATAATTTTTTATGTGTAAACATCATCTTAAATTGTCTTAAATTCTCTATACACATTATTTAATCCTCAAAAAAAATGGTTCTATCATTATTCTTATTGTGTGTGTGTATGTGTGTGTGTGTGTATACATGTATATATAATAAAACCATCCAAAACCCCGCTGGATGAAAGTTAAGCTGGGAGAACTGGCAGTGTGATCCATCACTGGTTTTGTGATCTGTGTGCACTCTTTGTTCTTAGGGTATCAGAGTGTCTAATCACTAGAAAGCTGCATCAAGGTCATACAGAAGATACACAGGCTGCCGTTCTCGCTTTTACTTTAAGGTTAGCGGGTAGCACATGAAGCAAAGCCCTTTATTGCTTTTTACTTGAGTGTTACAACATGCTGTTGCTAGGTGCAGAACACAGACATAATTAGATCTCTTTGAAGAGAGAAGCATAAGGAAGGTTTTGAAGAATGGGTATGATTTGGAAAGATTGCGTGCGTGCATGCTTAGTCACTTGAGTCCTGTCTGACTCTTTGCTACCCTCTAGACTGTAGCCCACCAGGCTCCTCTGTCCATGGGATTCTCCAGGCAAGAATACTGGTGTGGGTTGCTGTGACCTCCTCCAACAGATCTTTCCAACCCAGGGATCGAACATGTGTCTCCTGCGTCTTCTGCATTGCTGGCAGATTCTTTACCACTGAGCCCTGAGGAAGCCCTTGAAAAGATTATGAACAGCCAAAAGCACACACCCTTAGAGAAAAGACAAGACTATCTATTTCACTTCATCAGTATTTGAGTTTGACTATTCTCAAGGAATATTTCCTTTGAAAGAGAAGAAATGCTTTCCACCTCAGATACTCAAAATACATCATCAGACCAAGACTTCTCCTTGCTGTCTTAGTTATGTCCTAATTTTCCAACATTGTGACCTAGAAGGCATTTGATTTCTTCTTCAGGTGAGTGGATGGTTCTATGAAAGAGAGGTGACCTCAAAAATGAATACAATAAAAACAAACTTCACTGTGACTGAATTTGTGTTCCTGGGGCTCTCATCACAGCCAAAGATGCAGCTCATTCTTTTTATTATGTTCTTGTTCTTCTATTTATTAACCGTGGTGGGGAATATTATTATTATTACTATCATCCAGATAGAAACACGTCTCCAAACTCCAATGTACTTCTTCCTCACCAATTTATCATTTCTGGATATCTGCTACACATCCACTGATGTCCCACAAATGCTGTCCAACATGGTGGGCAGAAAGAAGACCATCCCATTTTCTAGATGTGCTACTCAGATGTACTTCTCTCTCTCCTTTGGAATGACTGAATGTGTTCTCCTCGGTGTCATGGCTTATGACAGATATGTGGCCATCTGCCACCCTCTTCACTACACAGTCATTATGAACCAAAGCACCTGTGTCCAGCTGGCAGGAGTTTCTTGGGCCAGTAGTTTCCTGAGTTCCACGGTCATCAACATCTTCACCTTGAGTTTACCCTACTGTGGACCCAATGTCCTGGATCACTTCTTCTGTGAGGTTCCTTCCATCCTGAGGTTGGCTTGCACTGACACCTCATTTACCGAGATGGTTGTTTTCGTCTTCACCGTCGTCATTGTCTTCATTCCTTTTCTCCTTATTGTTGTTTCCTATGCGCGGATCCTTCTGACAGTTCTCAGGATGCGGTCAGCCTCTGGAAGGCACAAGGCTCTGTCCACTTGTGCTTCCCATCTGACAGTGGTGGCCTTATTTTATGGAACTGGCATCTTCATGTACATGAGACCCCAGTCAAAGACCTCCAGGGCTGGGGGCAAGATCATCGCAGTGTTCTACACTGTGATCACACCCATGCTCAACCCCTTGATCTATAGCCTAAGGAACCAAGATGTAAAAGGAGCTCTAAGAAGAGCTCTGGCAAAACAGAGGACATGAAGAGCCCTCAATGGGACACCATGTCAGCCATTAATATAAGATGATTGACTTCTGAATATGAAGTGATAGAGTGAAAAGTAGCTCTGACGGTCACTATCTGCCCTGCCAACTCATAAAAGGCACATCATTCCAGCTGCAAACTCAGCAAGCCTTATGGCTCCCCCAAGGACAAACCACAGCTTTCATGTGTTAAAGCAACATGCTTTATTGAGTGACTACTCTTTTCTTACTCCCTGAAAATTCTTGCTTCTCTAAAATCATAGACTCTCTGTAAGTGATTTCTTTAAATCATATCAATAAGGTGAATTATCTTAGCTTCGGCTATCTTAACTATACATGAAGTATGTAAAGGGCCTTGAAGGAAGAATTCTCAATTTTTAACTCAGATGCAGAACTTCAGAAAAGAGTTTTTGGATGCCACAGTTCACATCTATCTTAATTTTGTAGTTTCCAAGGAACCAAGACCCTGTGGCTACTTTGTGGTTTAGACCTGATTTTGACCTTGTTACACACAGCCCTGTTGTGAAATGAATCTATCAAATATTTCTTCATTTAACATTTAGTTGAACCCTACCCTTTCCCTAAATCTTGGTGTGTGGTATTCCTCTTTATAGTGGATAAATAATTCTGATTTTATCTGACTATAGGCTTATTCCTGGTGGTCCTAGGCTGATTGTGTGGACAGGAGGGGAGCAATGGTCAGAAGCAGAAGATTTGGTCAAATGTGAATGAGTGAATAAACTCATTCATTCACTATTATTATTGAGTGACTATAGAACATAATGCTAAATAAAACATAAATACTTCCTTTCATTATGTGTACATAAATATTTATAATATACATATAATATGGACACTTACATCAGCAAATTATGATAAATGGAATAGGGTAACAACTGATCAGTGAGCAGTGCCAGATAAGCTGCATACAAAGATTGGAGGGAGAAGCAATCACATTGAGAAGCGTTTTCTATGTAAAGGGGGTTTGTGGCAAAGACTGGAAACAGCTTTCTCTGTCTGAGGGGATAAAGAAAACTAGTGAGAAGCAGGAGGTGTGTGGTGAGCAGACAATAGCCAGACCATGCAGGACTAAGCTGATTGTGGTAAGGAGTAGGAATTTATTCTTAGAAATATGTAAGTATTATCAAGAAGGGTGAAATGACACAGCTAGTTTTGAAAGGTTTTTCTGAATGCTGTATAGCAGACAGATACACATGTGTGTATCACAAATGTGTGGAAACGATTCCTGCATTTTGAAGCTTTTCAACCATTGCTGTTTTTAGAAAAGAATCATTCCTTAAATTAAGAGAATAGCAAAAACAAATAAACAAACAAAAGCTTAAAGATGACCTTTGAGTACAGAAGTAGTGGTTTCTAAAATTTTATCACTTGTTTATTTCACAATTTAGAATAAAATAAAAAGAAGGTAATTTCTGTTTTACAGATGTCCAATAATTAATGCAACTATTTAATTGAATACAAAGGTTGTACACAATAAAAAAAAAGGACTATCTCTGATTAAACAGGTGAAGGAAACATCACTGGTTTAAAGAATGTTTTAAAAAATTAAAAGCAGGGGCTTTTTATTTAAGACTTTGCAATTCCAATGCAGGGGGCATGGATTCAATCCCTGGTTGAGGCACTAAGATCCCACATGCTGTGCAACCAAAAATAAATAAATTTATTAAAAAAGGAAAAAGCAATCAATGTTCTCTTTATCTAGATATCTCTAATCTCTCTATAAGATATTTATTATAAAATAATTTTAAAGAGTATATATTATAAACCTGTCAACATTTCTTCTGAAACAGTTTTCACTTTTTGGATATGTTGTATTAATTTTAAGAACAATAATGCAATCAGTGTAGGTATAGAAACACTACTATCATGCATCATACAACATGGTACCAGCTTTCTCAATAGGTATCTTTTCCCGTTAAGAGAACAAAATTAATTTAATATTACTGTTAGAAAGCATGAGGTTTGTAAAATGTTGAAAAGGAGAAAATTCACAGGGAAACAAATTATTTGTTATCAGTATGTCTATTCCAAAATCATCTGAAAGTTGAATTGCTTCTTTGATATCATCTATTTTTCTGTTTTCCTTCACTTAAACATCAGTAGTGCCTTTTTGGCCCATTTGAACTTTCAATGGTTCAGCTCACCATAAACCATAGGCAATGGTGGGGGGGGCGGGCTTTCATCAAATGCTTCACAACACAATACTGTCTAAATCTTGACATCAATTTAATCAAAAATATCAGATTGAATACAGCCATGTATTCAAGGTTCCAGAGAATGCAGAAAACCTTTTAAATTTCGCTACTTCATCTGTGTTTTACTTGAGAGACATAACATTTGAAAGGAAGGGGACTGAACTTCTCTCTCAGTATCTATCACCATTCTAATTTTATCCTCCTTGACTTTTAGCATGTAACATAGAAATGATGAGAAATGAACTTTCAGGTTGAGTAACAAGAGGCTAGAGGTTGTTTGATAATCTTATTTAAACTGGTGCTTTATGTACATGAGATGTACTAAAATAAATAATACAGAATTTTTCTTGCTAGATAAATCAAGTAAGTGAGTAATTTTTTAAAAATTATCTGAAAAAATTATCTGCATCATTGCTGTTTGTTACTGTGGACTAAGTGAACCTCATTCAAGGTTAGTTTGAAGTAATGTACTTTTGTGATTTTCTAATGCATTTTCCATGGTGCTACAAATAGTCCAGACTACTAGGCCTGGTGAATATCAAAGCTGGGTATTCAGAAATGCCATTTGCATTTATTCCTGATCACATCTGAATATTCTGATTTTATTCCTACCCAGGGAGCATGTTGTTTCTCAATATGAAAATATTTATGAAGTTCCTGTGAAGGAACCAGACCTTCACAAAGGCCTTCTCAATTCTCAAACCTCTTCTCAATTCTAATTATACTTATCATTTTCTACAATGCTGTACATTTCCCTGTTTGCAGAATACTGGACTAGGAACCAGTTGAAGTTAGCTCTCTTCCCAGCTCTACTATGTAAGAGCACATCAGCATGCCATTTGGGCCTCCCACGTGGTGTGGGGGTAAAGAACCTGCTTGCCAATGCAAAAATGGCATAGAAGACACCAGCTCAATCTCGTGATATCACAGGGCTTGCGGATGAAAAGAGACTACCCGAAAGTTTCACAGTCTACCAAGAAAACTCCCCGCGCTCAGTCTTGTCTGGCTCTTTGTGGTCCCCTGAACTGAAGCCCACCAGACTCCTCAGTCCATGGAATTTTCCAGGCAAGAATACTGGGGCGGGGGCGGGGTTGCCATTTTCTCCTCTAGGGGATCTTCCCCACCCAGGGGTTGAACCTGAATCTCTTGTGTTTCCTGCATCAGCAGCAGGTTCTTTACTGCTGGCACCACCTGCTTCATATAAAAAGAGTATGTGTTTTAATGTTATAGAAAAATTATATGTGTAGTGCTTTTCTAGCAGAAAGGACTGCTGCCATTAATTAAGACCCCAAATGCTTAAATGCACTACTTGGGATTTTCTTATATTTTAATATCTGAATTAGGGCACTTTTGAGAGTAAAAGTTTGCACAATTGATATTTACTCCAAGATAGTAAGCAAAAAAAATAAATACATAAAACTCTCAAGCAAAGGGACAACTGGTCTTGGTAACATTATCTTGCTTTGTTCTCACAGAAACTCCATGTCGTAGGTAATATTGGTACCATTTTACAGATGGGAAAAATCTGGAAGGTGATTTCAGGAGTGAGTACTAGAAAAAGTAATAACTGATTTGTGACATAAAACAGAAGCATGTGTTTTCTAGGTGGGTTAGTTTTATCTGATGCATAGGACTAGAAGCAAGAAATTTTAAGGTATATTCGAGTTCAATGTAACTTGTACTTCTGAGGGGTTTCCCTGGTAGCTCAGCTGGTAAAGAATCCACCTGCAATGCAGAAGACCCCAGTTTGATTCCTGGGTCAGGTAGATCCCTGGGAGAAGGAATAGGCTACCCACTCCCTTTGTTTGGGCTTCCGCGGTGGCTCAGATAATAAACCACCTGCAAGGCGGGAGACCTGGGTTCCATCCCTGGGTTGGGAAGATCCCCTGGAGAAGGAAATGGCACCCCACTCCAGTACTCTTGCCTGGAGAATCCCATGGACAGAGGGGTCTGGTGGGCTACAGTCCTTGGAGTCACAAAGAGTCAGACACGACTGAGAGACTAACACTTTCTCATACTTCTAAGAGGCGGGATGTCAGAGCAAATACCTAAGATGAAGCTGAAAATGCTGAATTTCAGGTGTCATCTGTGGATGGCATTCATAGCACTGATTTTATTATGGGCTCTTATTCCTGTCTCCAGAAGCCAGGTCTGGTGAAGAGGCTTATTTCACTAACATTTGATCTGGCAGAGTTAAATACAAGATACCAAAATTTATTTGAATAAATAAATTCAAAGGCGAGAAGGAAACATTAAGGGTTAAAAGTCTTAAGAATGGAGCCACCAAATACAATATGTGGAC